TAATAGTTTTTGTGAATTTGCAGTACTTTTCTTGGACCTTTTACTTGGATATTATATTTCAAAGCTGTATTTGACTTCACATTGACACAATGGCTATGTCAGCTGTATGTCAGTTCCAGCCTGCTCATCTCAAATGATAGATCAAAAGCTGCCTGAGTACATGAGTAAAGGTCAGCTTAGCTGAGGCCATATCCACGAGGTCCTTATGCTCATCACAGGGGAAATGTATGAAACAAAAGCATGAATGAAAGTGTTAATTTACTGCAAACAAACCTTGCTACTAATAATCAGCTTCTGCATTAAGAAGTGGGTGAAAACTAGACTTTAGATTAAGCTTTTGGTCTGAGATTCATGTGAAACTTAGCTTGTTGACCTTGATGCATCATAGTGACTGTAAAAGCATGTAAAAGATAGAGAGCTGTAAATGCACTCTCTTCAGTGAGAGTGGAGCGTCCTCTTTGTGTGTGTGTGTGTGTGTGTGTGTGTGTGTGAGAGAGAGAGAGAGAGAGAGAGGACTTAAGTGTGGAACTTTCTCAGCATAACTTATACCCTGCTGCGAAATAATTGAATTTTTACTCTGATAATGTTCACTTAATGAATGCCCACCATGCACATTCCAATCTATTGCTGCGGCAGATTGATACTCTTGTTTTCCTCCTACTACTCAATCATTTTAATAGGAGTTTAATCAGTGTCTCGTGGGAGAAGGGTGGGAGTGAGGATGCAGCATGTGGCTGCAAGGTCTCAGTGTATCTCCACGTGACAGCTTACTTGACTGGCACTCCAGATTTTCAGGCTGCAGCGCTCCAATTTGAAGGTTAGTGGAGCTGTAAATAAAAGGTTCACTTGTCACTGAAGGGTCAGAAAGGGGTGCCCGAGTACTCTGAAACGGAGGGGCGAGGGTGAGAGGCATGATGTATCTCGAGACCCCTGGGACTGTGCCACTCTGCATCTGACACTCCAGGAATCGTACGGTTACCGAAGCTGGCAGAGCGGCGTGCCTCTTAAGTTCTGACATCTCGTCTCAGGATTGAAAGGGGAACTGCAAGCTGCGGTAACCTGACACCAGGTGCAGCGGGGGTCTCTTCTTTTTAACTGTGCATGAGCACATTTGCTGTGCACACACACATCCTTGGAAGTGCATTCACCAGCCACACACAGGCCACTTCATGGAGCTTACACTAGTAACTTAAAACACAAGGTAAACATTGACAGGCACTCCAGACATCTCCATACATTCGCTCATCCTCAGGCCCCCCAGCAGTTGTTCACGACCATCTGGCTTCTCTTCCTTATAAAGGATTAGAAGAGTCTGAGCTGCAGGGGGGAGTTTCAGGCAGATTAACGCAGTATTGGGTTGTGCGGTTAAGGATCATAAGCGCAGTTCCTTCTACGCTAAAGCCAATATCATCAAAGCAAATGGGCATTGTGGTGCTACATGTGACAAAGTCTGGGGTTTAGTTGGCAAGACGATCTGTTGTTCTCCAGCACACATGCTCTCAAGGTCTGTTTGACCATCCCGATAAGATGATTGACATTAAGCCCTATTGGTGTCAGCCTTGAGAACATATCGGTGTTTGTGTTCTTGCTCGGAGCAAGGATTTTAGCCTTAACTGTGCAATGTGTTCTCTGAACTCACAGTAAGCGCTCTCAACTCTCCCTGAGGATTTATTCCAACAAATTACAACAGCATTGCTCTCAAGCTTATTCTAATTGCTTAAGATATAGTAGGTTGTACGCTAAATCTGAGCTCTGGCATTATCACACCATATCAAAAAGTAGAGCCTCATTTGATATTCATATTTAAAGGGAAACTGTCAGTTCAGCAGTCTTGTCCTACAAGTACAAGAGGGGTTCTAGTATCAAAGCTACTCCTTTGTTAGCAGAGAAATGTGTTTAGCATTCATGAATTCTTGTGCTTACTTAGGGGATCGCTGTAGGATTTATAAACCATTTGGTCCAAAGCAACAGAAGATTCGTTTTCCTATCGATTTACCGAATTTGACACTTAAGGTTTCATATATTCTTGCGCTTTGATGCTACAAAGAGAAGCAGTATTGACAGACTCCAGGTGGTTTGTTAGAAGTGTGCATATAAGCGTACTGACACGTTTTTATTTGGTTTTGTTGAACTCATAAAAAAACTCACACAAGCTGTCCCTTTGCTTACTCAGACTGGAACCCCCTGAGGTTTCAGTCTAAGGTGCTGAAGCAGTGTGCCTATTTTTCATTCTCCATATCGGCACATGAAAAGTTCAGTAATTTTTAATAGCTCGAGAGCTTGTGTTGTAAAAGACTTTTCGTTTTCTTCCTCTTTTTCACAAGTCGCACAGCTGAACTCCATCAGTCACTGCCAGGTGAAACAAGGATTTGGGCACAGGAAAATAGATGAGAGTTGAATGAAAAACTGTTTTTTGAATTGACGGTGGCTTTAAAGTGGCAGAAAGCAGTATCAATCTTAGCCGGTGTGTCTTTTGAAATCTTACACCTCCAAATATTAATTTTAAATTGTATGTATCAGTGTCGTTTCGCTTATCAATACAACCAATTACAAATTATTCATCTTATATATCAGGCATTCATACTGTATAACATGCTTGGATATCAACAGATGTGTCATGGCCAAAATGTGCAGCCTGCAAGCTGGCCTGTCAGTTTCCCTGTAGCATTTACATAAAGAACATCACATGTGCATTTTAATTATTTGGAGTCTTGTAATTAGCATCCCCTGTAGATCCCTGGGGCTTGATTCACACTGGCTGACCTGCTTGGTAAATATCTCCATATGCCTGCCTTTGTCCAGCAGATCGTCTAGGGAGATCACTCTCATTTACACGTCTCTCTCTCACACAGGCTGTTTCGATTTCCCGGCCGTGTTGTGTAGAGCCGCTGAGCTCATTAGCTCTTGTT